AAGCCACCACGGGTGGAAGGAAGGAAAATCGCTCAATTCCCCCATCAACACAGTCAGTGTTGATGGGGAAATGTCTCCCACAGCGCTATTGTGTTCTGTCAGTGGGCAGCCTTCCCGGCTGACAGAACACAATGATTACTGCTAGCAGCTATAGTCGCAAGCAGTAATTTTGTGTAGAAAAATCCAAAAGGCTGGTTGTACCCAAGTCAGTTGATGAATAAACTTGTGTACAATCAGCCTGCCCGTGCATGGATCGAATCTCCCTGCTGAACCAGCCAAATTGGGCTGCTGTGCTCGCGTTTCACGCAAGGAAAAGGTGCATGTACCTTTTACAGAATGCATCACCACGGAAACCGCATGGTCTTTCCTGCACCTGTGATCCCATATGAATGTGCATCATCCTGGTGCAGCCAATCAAAAGGCCAAAGACTTTGACCCGGAAAAAGACCAGTAGAGAAGACGAAAGTGCCGGTGATGGAGGGGAGTGCTGATATCTCAGGACTGGAGGTGAACTCTTGCAATGGAAGTCAGCCATAATGTGCTAATACGCTGTGCATACAGGGAAAATATGGAAAATAGCTCTTAGGGGTTCAAAATAATTTTTGTGTCATGGCTGCTTACTTCTGCTTAAAGCAAAGTTTGTTTGCTCTTGGTCTGCTCTTCTGGTTCCATGAAGAGTAGGGCCAATCTGAATCATTGACCCTCGGAAATGTTACTCACAGTAACCTTGATGGCTTCGATGTCCAACATTAGTTACATTTGCTAAATGCAACAGCATTTTGTTGTACATGGACAGGGTATTTCACATCTAATAACAACCAAAGATTCCAAGGAGTGTGGTGCAGGGGTGCTGTAGATATTTTATCATGCTCAGCAGTCACACCCTTAGTCTGCATTCACACCTGAGCAGGCCGTATGCATATTTCCGGTGATTTTGAAGTGTCCTTTTCAGGTGTTTTACAGGCATTTTTGCATGTTTATCAAGCTTCAGGGTTTAGGACATGGGGAGGAGAGCAACTCTATAGGAGGAGAGGAATTCCTCAGGTGCCAAAAATGCACAAGCATGTGCGTTTACAGGCATTCCCATTGCTGTCTATGGGATCAAAAATGCCTGAAAAAATCTTTTACTTTTTGGAGTGTAAAACTTAGAATGACTGAGCATACATGTGTAAACAGGGACAGTTTAAAAGAATCTGACATAGGGAAATCGCTTAAAGTGATTGTAAACCTTCACCTTGTAAAACAACCCATTCAGCTTAAAATAGAAATGAAAGGCAAAACATTTGTGTATAGATCTAAAAAAAAAAAAATTACAAATACCCTTTTTTCTGATACAATACATTTTTACTGAGCGTTTACAAAATGACAAAAAACTTAATACTAAGACATAACTGCATCACACAGTGTGCAACAGAAAGGGTCACAATGCCCATAAAATGGTACCTAACATATACAAGAGCACATATAATGTCAATAGGCCATGGGTCCATAGGCTGAGGCCTCCCCCCTCCTTTTTTTTTTTATAAGTGATCACATATCCTGTGTTCTCAACTGCATACGAACTGGGGGAGGAAAAACAGCAGGACACTAAACTTCCCAGTAATAGGCTGTGCAGAGTCAGATTTGTTGGGACAAATCTGATCACTGAAAGAGAGCACACTGAGTTCCCAGCTCAGCTAGAAAACTGACCACAGTGTGTTCTCCTGCTTAGTGTAGTAAGGTTTTAATAGGAGATCAGAGGGACTGGCAGGAACACCAGGGATTTCACACAAAGGAAACAATACAAAGAGAACAGATTACTTTTTCATAAAAGTACATGGTACAGCAGGCACATATTATGAATATGAAATGCTGGGTTTACATATTCTTTTAAGTGTATTTCCAGTTTTGTAATACATTTTGAGAAAACCCCACTATTGTTTGTGTTCCCATTCACACAACATACCTAAATAACAATTTTAAGAATTATTTAATATCGTGTAGATATTTATAAGGGGGTCCAATCCCAGTGTATTTTGAGTGTGCCTAGGAGACAGAGGTGCATTGTCTAGCCCCGCAGCCAGTTAAAGTCTGTGGCATACAGATAAAACTTGAAAATTGCTGTTCACAGACGCTCTCCATCCAATCTGACAGAGCTTGAGCTATTTTGCAAAGAAGAATGGGCAAAAATGTCACTCTAGATGTGCAAAGCTGGTAGAGACATCCTCAAAAAGACTTGCAGCTTTAATTGCAGCAAAAGGTGGTTCTACAAAGTATTGACTCCAGGGGGCTGATTACAAATGCACCCCACACTTTTCACATATTTAATTGTAAAAAAAATTTTGAAAACCATTTATCATTTTTCTTCCACCTCACAATTATGTGCCACATTGCGTTGATCTATCACATCAAATCCCAATAAAATACATTTACTTTTTTGGCTGTAACATGACAAAATGTGGAAAATTTCAAGGGGTATGAAGACTTCCAAGGCACTGTATGTGACAAGAGTGGCTTAATAAACCATAATGATATTGTACAAAATATAAATGTTATTATAAACCAAGGAAGTCTAGGATATACAAACGTATTAAATTATTAATACACACACAACATCTTAATTATCATTAAAAATGTCTAGATGGTGTCTGACACTACGTAAATGTGTTGGTGTAAATCCACAGGGTCACTCTCTCACCAACAGTCTTAGTATCACAGAGCGAGTCTATTGGGGTGAAGGTGCACTTATGTGGCTTAGCATATAATCCCTATTGAACAGTCAACTACTGAGCAATTTCATTTTACTGCAAGATTTGCAGCAGAATTCAATCAGGTAATCACATCTAGGGTACAGATAACATAAATGTTCAGCCAAAAAATAGTTAAATACAATTAAAGTTTTACTAAACCCCGGACCCTGCATTCACTATATCTGGTCTCCCACAGTACACAGAACATGGAAATGCAATTATTTTAGTAAATGTAAACTGCTAAATACCTTTAATCATCAGCAGTATATAGCAATCTTGTGACGTCTGTCAGTGTCCAGCAGAGCACTGGTTAAAGCTTGTAGGAGGAGTTTTCATTCTCCTCTATGAGGATGCAGGACCCTTGACCTCAGTCTGGACAGTGCTGATTGGCCCTGTGCTGATCACATGCACTCTCCCAAGAAAAAAAAAAAGCTCTCTAGCAATACACACCAAACTGAATATTTTCAGAGTGACTCCAAACCTCTGTTCTGTAAGTATATATTTAGAGGACAAACCTTCCAAACAAAGGGCCAGTTTACTGTCCTTCAGACTTTAAGGGGGCCTGACTGTGGACAGTGTGAATAGAAAATGCTCGACATCAATGGGTGTAAAAAATGCCCCTTCATTGGTATCAATGGAGGAATAGTGCTCCATTGGTGGTATTGATGGGAGGAAATAATGCACTATTGCTGGTATCATGGGAAGGAATAGTGCTCCATCATTTGCGATATTGGGAAAAATAGTGCCCTGTCGTTAGTGTCAGTGGGAGAAATAGTGTCCCATTGTTGTCAGTGGAAGGAATAGTTTGCAATCATTGATGTCAGTGGGAGAAAGAGTGCCCTGTTGTCGGTGTCAATAGGACAAATAGTGCTCCATTGTTGGTATCAGTCAAAGGAATTATGCCCCACTGTTTGTGTCAGTGGAAGGAATAGTGCCTTGCATCTGTGGGAGGAATAGTGCCGCAAGGGCTTGAGAAAGGCAGCAAAGGGCCACATATGGCCCCCAGGCCACAGTTTGGAGTCCACTGGGATAGTGGGTTGGAGGCTGTGACTTTGGGATTTTGTGGTAATACAAAGGTGGTGTACAGTATTGTGGTACAAGGATAATCATGGAGGTCTTGATATTGTGTTTATAGTGCAGAAGCCGTGCACTGTGTGTGGCAGTGCAGGATCAGAGCCATGTCTATACAGACATTTGCCATGTGGCTTAGTTTTTAAGAACTGGCCAGTAATATGTCCAAGTATCACTTACAGGGCATAGCAGACACATGAATCACTTGCACTTGTCACTTGTTTATACAAAGTGGGGAAGTTTATATTTTACACTTGGCTAAAAGTGGGGGCTGGGAGGGTCTCTACTGCTTTTTTCTGTAGAGACCTGCAGAGGTCCCTGTAAGTGTCAGCACTCTTATAACTTATGTGAAGGCAGATCACATTGTTAAATAGCAAATCAAGACCTTGCAGAGATTTCTTTTATTCTTTATATTCATTCTGCTCATTGCCGTCTAACCAGCAGTGGAAATTCAGCAGGTTTGCTACTTACTGTTTAAGGCTGAGTTCACACTAATGCCGTGCGGTACATCGCATGTGATTTGCACAGGAACCACACTGAAGTCCTGTGCAAATCACATGTGATTTGTGTGTGGTGCGATTGGAGCCATACATTTTGTATGGCTCAAATTGCACCGCACCCGCACCAAAAAGGTGCAGGACCCTTTTTTTTGAGTCCGCACTAGAATTGGATCGCATGGATATTCACACCTATGCGATCTGAATATGCACATCATACCGCATTTTACGGACTGATTTCGGGGTGTTTTTAACTTAACATACACACCTGCATCGGTTCGCATGAACGGGATGCGATTCTGATGCGGAATTGGCACAGAAAATGCTGCAAATTCTGCACCACATCAGTGTGAGCCTAGCCTCAATCTGACTTTATAGTTAAAAGGTGAAGCTCTGAGCACTGTAGAAAAAAAAATGTTCATAATGGCACCCAAAGCAAACTTACTATTTGTTTATTATTTTATAACAAATCACCCTGTGATAGCAAATCATATTACCGTATTTTTCGCTCTATAAAATGCACCTGACCATAAGACGCACCTAGGTTTCAGAGGAGAAAAACAAGAAAAAAAATATTCTGAACCAATGGACTGCAGACATACTGTAGTACAGGAAATGACCAGAGACTGCGGACACAGTACAGGAGATGATCAAAGACTGCGGACACAGTACAGGAGATGACAAGAGTCTGCGGACAGAGTACACGGGATGACCAGAGACTGCGGACACAGTACAGGAGACGACCAGAGACTGCAGACATAGTACAGGAGATGACCAGAGACTGCGGACACAGTACAGGAGATGACCAGAGACTGCGGACATAGTACAGGGGATGACCAGAGACTGCGGACACAGTACAGGAGATGATCAGAGACTGCGGACACAGTACAGGAGATGATCAGAGACTGCGGACACAGTACAGGAGATGATCAGAGACTGCGGACACAGTACAGGAGATGACAAGAGTCTGCGGACACAGTACAGGAGATGACCAGAGACTGTGGACACAGTACAGGAGATGACCAGAGACTGCGGACACAGTACAGGAGATGACCAGAGACTGCGGACACTGTACAGGAGATGACCAGAGACTGCTGACACAGTACAGGGGATGAACAGAGACTGCGTACACAGTACAGGAGATGACCAGAGACTGTGGACACCGTACAGGAGATGACCAGAGACTGCTGACATAGTACAGGGGATGACCAGAGACTGCGGACATAGTACAGGAGATGACCAGAGACTGCGGACACAGTACAGGAGATGACCAGAGACTGCGGACACAGTACAGGGGATGACCAGAGACTGCGGACACAGTACAGGAGATGGACCAGAGACTGCGGACACAGTACAGGAGATGACCAGAGACTGCGGACACAGTACAGGAGATGACCAGAGACTGCAGACACAGTACAGGAGATGACCAGAGACTGGGGGCACAGTACAGGAGATGGCCAGAGACTGCGGACACCATACAGGAGATGACCAGAGACTGCTAACACAGTACAGGGGATGACCAGAGACTGCGGACACAATACAGGGGATGACCAGAGACTGCGGACACAGTACAGGGGATGACCAGAGACTGCAGACAGTACAGTTGATGACCAAGAGACTGCAGACAGTCCTGGGGATGACCAGAGACTGCAGACTTTTGGGGAGGGTGGGGAAGCAGGTACCTGAATTTGACAGGTACACGCTCCCACTTCTGCGGAGTTTTCCTCCCTTTAGTGTGGGCACCTGGCTGTGACATCCGAGTGCCCACTGCGCATGTGTGAGAAGCGCTACACTTTGTGAATGGCTCGGCATCTTCTGGGACCTGTCACGTGTCCCAGAAGATGCCAGACCATTCACAAAGCGCAGCGCTTTTCGCGCATGTGCAGTGAGCATCAGGCTGTTCTAGCTGGGTGCCAACACTAAAAATGCCTGCACAGGAAGACTGTACAGCGCTGGACCGAGGAACAGGTAAGGTCCTGCTGCAGAGCGGCCGGCCTGGAATTCTGACAGGGTGGCGGCTGCGGAAATACCAGACCGGCCACTCCATATTTGCTCCATAAGACGCAGTGACATTTCCCCCCCTTTTTTGGGGGAAAAAAGTGAGTCTTATGGAGCGAAAAATACGGTACGTAGTTGTGACAGGTTTATGAATAATAAATCAATTAGGTTATTCTGCCATAATTTATGGCACATCTAGAAATGTTAAAGAATTAGTTCACCTTAACCACTTCAAGTCCTGATACTTTTACTCCCTTCCTGTCCAGGCCAAATTTCAGCTTTCAGTGCTATCCCACTATTAATTACAGTTGCGTGGTCATGCAACACTGTAACCAATTTTTTAGCATTTTTTTGAGACCGATAAAACTTTATTTTGGTGGTATTTATTCACCACTGGGATTTTTATTTTTTTTTGCTATATATAAATGAAAAAGTCCAAAATTTAGAAAAAAAAATAACCCAAATTAGTTTAACCAAAAATTATAATTTTTCTACATTTTTATATTATTATTTATGGGGGGGGGGGTGTTTCAACATACTGTCACCCTAGCAGTACAGTGCCACCATAGTGACACTGTACTACTTGTGGGGGGTGATGAAGATTTTTTTACACTGATTGCTTTTATAAAAGCAATAATTTCTCTTTCTCTGTGGCTGAATTCTTGCAGTCATTGAGAAATACTGTGCGAGCTGTGATTGGTCACAGCTTGTCACATGGTACAAGGCTGTTGTGAATAGCCTTGTACCATGTGATCTCTGTTATCATTCACAGATTTCACACGTAGTAAGCAATGATGTCAGAAGTGACATCTTGCTTACTACTCTTCATGTGATCACTGATTGGCCAATCGGCGATCACATGATCGGGACCTCACACAGCGGTTGCGTACAAGGATCGGTGTTCTGGGCACCGTCTCGCGGTGCTGCGTGCTCCCAGGGAGCGCGCACAAGCAGGGAGCGGGGAGGCCGTTTATATACATGGACCAGACGGGAAGTGGTTAAACTACATTAAAAAAATCCATATACATTACAGCTTTGCCTGTACATTAAAATGTTGTGCTTCGTTTTTAAAAGACTTGATGCTGAGTCTAATGTGGGCTCCCCCTCTCTATCATACCATTGGATGTACAGCCCCAAAAGTTGATGAACGATCACTTGGCTACAAATACATGGCTTGCCTAATCACGCATGTGCAGCCCTCTCTCTTCAGTAGCTGAGCTCAACATCCTGAAAGTAAGATAGAGCAGCATCAAGGATAAGGATCATTTCAATGTACAGAGCTGTAATGCATATGGATTATTTGTAAAAATATAATTATTGGTAAACTAACCCTTTAATTATACCTACAAAGTGCTTTACCCTGAAAGATTTCCACTGTCCTGTATTCCTACTGAAAAATAGTGCAGTTCCTGAGCCTTATACCTGTACACATGCAGTGTAGGATCTAGGGCGCCTGGACCTCTGACTGCTAGTCTCCGAAGATTTGGAGCGAGATTTGGCGATGTTACTACTGTGTTTGTTTACTGTTCTTGGAAGCTGTACCAGATGACTTTCACTGACAGAAACTCTCTGCTTCTGCATTCTTTATTCTGTGGATCTGTGGTTCCCCAACCTTTCCTGCTGCTCTTTGAATGTTACCCTTCTATTCATCAGATCACCAGTAATCAAAGGGGGCATCTCTGACTTGAGAAAGCAAAGTATTATCTCCTAAATGCTTTCCAGCAGCTCCTGTACCACTCGTTGAAAAGCAATCCACTGTGGATCACTTGTATTCCAAAGCCTGCCAGATATGTAAATGAGCCCTTGGTTTTCTTTCTTTTTTTAGGGCTCTCTTTAGTTTTTCATCTGGTGATCCAACTAGTTAAGCAAGGGCCGGACAAATTTTTGATCCATGTATGGGCAAGGAGGTAGTACAGAAATCAGTCTACTGTTTGACTTCTCCCACAACGCATTACTGTGAACCCAGGCTAAAAGTGAATTGGGACAAGTCCCACATTCTACCCATAGATGCTAGAGCCTGAAAGGGCTAACCCTAAAATGAACAAAGTTAAATATCTTGGAGTTTTTTTCTCCCCTCTAGTCTCTGAGTATTACTTCTTAAATTTCCTACCTCTCCTGCAATCTGTGAAACAGAGAATGAAAGCCTGGAACAACCTGCTTCTGCTTCAATTTGATAAAAATGAAACTACTTCCTCCCATTTTGTATATCTGGTGGCAAGCACCAGTCTGGCTTCTGCCGAAGTATTTTAAACAGTTTAACTCAGCTGTATATTCCTTTTTATGAGGCTGACATCACCCTTGATTTAAATTGGCAGTGCTCCAATGGCTATGGACGCAGGGCAAATTGGCTACTCAGATTTGCATGCCTATTTTATTGCTGCCCTTCTTTCGCATGCATATAACTGGTTATCTCTATGGTGTTGGAGGTGGCCTATTTAGGCTCTTACAAAGTGTTAAGGAATCTCCTTTACCTTTGCTGAGGAGCCACGGCTCCCTTTCTTATAATAATATCTATGAAAGCACTCATTAAGGCTTGGAATCTGGCATCCTGTGTCGTCCCACCGTTGGTCCCTGCACAATCCATCTTGACCCTACAATTTTTCTCCCTTCCAGAAGGGAGATTATATCAACCAAATTTGTAAGGGAGCCATGTTGAAGCCCTTGGATATCTTGAAACGACAATACATCCTCCCAAACTCATACTTGTTACAGCACCTTCAACTGCGCCACATACATCAAGCTTACTCCAGTATGTCTCCATTATCTCTCCTTTCCTCAAGGTTGGAGACAATCCTGAGAGATGAACCCTTAAATAATCCATTGCTACGATTTATAAACCTTTATTACCCTTGATTCACATAGTTCTGGATGGGATACCTGGTTAACACAGACAAACCTCTTTATAAATTTAGGAACGAATTCAGAGGCTGTCCTAAGAAATTCTCCAAATTTTCTGATATTTGGAGTAATTCACCCTCTACCAACACCTCATTGGAAATGTCTCCTTGCAGTTGATTGAGTTGTAAGTGGTTGATCAGGGACCCCTCCTTGGAGTTCAGATACCCCCTGTTTTAGTGGGTAAGAGGTGATCCTGGGAAATCTGGAGCGAGTATTGCCAATCTAAGGTAAACTTCTAGCAAGTTGACATCATATCCCTACATTTAATCTAACTATGGTCTAACCTGTGTGTTTTCTTCTGTACTGGGAGAATGCCAGTCACTACTAGGGTACACAGAAGACAACGTTGCCCTGTTCTCACTGCAACACAACGCACCCATCACACAGTCATGATAGCATTGTGCTCCCCCTCCCTGAGAAGCAATGTGCAGCGGATCACTTTTAAGAGGACCGTGAAAGGAGATTTTTGCATTGCAGGGGCGCACCACAACTGCATGGCCCCATTCTTTACATGATAGAATTTGGTGGTGCCACCTCAACCTCAGCATGCAGAATTGAAATTGCGCCACAATGCAATGCATCCCAATGGCAGCAATGTGCCCCCAAACCAATGGCATATGCGAGTGGCACCATATCCGCTTGTATGCAGGCGGTCAGTAATAACACAGATCAACTGCTTGTTTTTATCACCTCATGGCTGCAAGTGTGAAAAGGGCCTCAGTCTGCTCAGAGACTATACCTTGATGGACTTTAAGGAGGAAGAGGACGTCTGAAGATTCCCCCTTCCCCCTACCCCCCCTTGCGTGTCTTTGTCCCTTCAATAAAGCTTCGGACCTGTGTTTCCCCCTTTTTTCCCCCTTCCCCCCCCCCACACACCCGATGCCTATTGTAGACTGTAACGTTCGGTTTTCGTTTTTGCATGATTTTGTGACATTAGGAAAAAGTATTGTGTATTAGGATGCTACAGTTTTTGGGGTAAGCGGCGTTATGCATGACGTGTTGGTCTGGGGATTCATCCTCCACGCACATCACGTCAGGCATCATACCGCTGAGCGAATGTATTTATTTCTGAATGTATTTATTGTATGCTTGGAACTGTATTGCAATGTGGTGCGCTGCGTCGCAGTACAGGGTGAGATGTACCCCGATTACAAGTATCATGTTGTTTTTGATGCTTCTGTAATAAAAGTATCTTTTCAATCAAAAAAGGGCCTAAGTAATGCTGATCAGTGGATGTGAGGTGCAACAGCCCACAGTATGACCCATTAGTTTTTGTTAGGTAATGCCAGTATTCCTGGTGATGACACAGCAGTTGATACCAGTGGTCCTAGGGATGTCACCATCTGTGGTCCTTGTGAGGTCACAAGAAGTGATATCAGCTGCCTGATGATGTCAGAAT